TACCCTATGCAAGCAGATTTCCTTACTGGTTCCGGAGTGCCTAATTCTCTTCTTGTCCCTGCCTTGCATAACTTTCTTCTGCGGATTGGTGCTGGTGGTGGTAGGGGTGTGGGGAGAGCTTTTAAATAGCTTAATCACTTGAAACATTTCATCCCCCACTAGCTAAGTTCCTTCAGGGGACGGAATGTGGATTTTTCAGTCCACTTTCCCATTTCTTTTCAAGCCAAACGATTGCTCTAAGTCTGCTAGCAAAATGGGGTCAAAGTGATCATTTCATTCCGCAAGCTTTTTTAATTCACCAAGCAGTGGATGGCCTCACCCTGGCCCTCTCCATAAGGAAGCCAGGAGGCCCCCGAAGTGATGAGGCCTGAATCCTTGCTGCAAAGATAATGGCTGTGTTTGGGTAAGTAGCTTAGAAGTGAATTAACCTCCCCAAACATTGAGATTGGCTCCATGGGCCCAGCCTGTTATCTGGGCTTCCTTCTCCAATGCTAATGAACCGCTCGGCCTGACGCTGGAAATAAAGCAGCAACGTCAGCTTCTCGCTCGACAGCACAGAAGAAAGGAGGAGGGTAAGGAGGCCTGGAGACATCTCGCTGTTCAGATTGCGACCCTCGAAGGGACACAGGAAGGTCCGGGGTGGCGCTCACCTGGAGGTGGGTGGCTCCAGCCCACGGAGTGGGGCTGGGAAAGAAAGGCCCAGAGATCTACATCTGCAGAGATGACCGCACGGCCATCCGAGGGAGAGGTTCACTTCGGTACCATGCGGGTGGCTATGAATTAGGATCGACTCAACAGCAATGGGAGTGGGCGCAGGATGGGATTTGGCAGATACAGCCATTTACTAAGTGATGTCCAGGTTAGCTACTTGCCCCAACCATCACCGCACCACTCAGAGGCTCCCTTGCCCATGTGTGACAATGACGGTGGTCTCTGGGAGACCTCCTGATTCACAGAATGCTTTGCTATGTATCTTTGCTTGCAGGGTGTGGCCCTCTGTCCTTTCATCTCCTGGCAGTGATTTCTAGCTCCCATATGTTCCCCTCCCCAATGGCTGCCCCAGACACACTCAGCCCTTTCTGAGGGAAGGTGCTCTCCCACCGACCCCCTGCTGACAGGGAGGGTAGCAGCCCCAGGCAGCCGTGTTTACGCACACTTGATCTGGGTCACAGCTGACAGCACCAATGGGTCCATTAAAGATGTTATCAAGAGGGACCAGTTCTTAGAGAAGGACATCAGGCTCGATAGAGGGTCAGCAAACAAAATCCAAGAAGTAGAAATGAACTGCAGGAAGACCCACAATGAGATGGATTGACACATTGGCTGCCAATTGTCAGGCGGGAGCGGGAGCTGAAGGGACAGGCAAGTGAAGAGACCTTGGAGCTGGTGGAGACACTTCAAGGTCGCTGTGAGAGACCAGGCCTCCTTGCTCCCCTTGGAGCTAGCCATTGCAGATAACATTGAACATGGTTGCTTAGCTCTGGATCTGCAGACAATAAAGTTGCAGGAGAAAATTCCTCAGCTACTCCCTTACCCCAGACCTGGGCTATAAAACTCTCCACCACTTGCGGGGACAGTGCGACTTCTCAGGCCCCCAGCTGTGAACCTCAGGATGCTCCCGTCCCTTTCTCTGCTCTCCCCTCCCTCCTGGGGGGGCACGACTTCTCTGGCTCCAAATTAGGGCCCCCTGGACCTCACGCGGGAGCTCTGAAATAAACCTTTGAAACGGTTTTCTACCTTTTCCTTCTTTCTTTCCATCACCAAAATCAACTTCACACCCGTGAACTCAAACATA